AAGACAGAATCTCAGAGTTGTTTTGATTTGCATTTCTCTGATGGCTAAGGATATTGAACATTTCCTTAAGTGTCTTTTAGCCATTTAAGATTCCTCTGTTGAGAGTTCTCTGTTTAGGTCTGTATTCCATTTTTTTGTTGGACTATTTGTTCTTTTGATGACCAATATCTTGAGTTCTTTCTATATTTTGAAGATCAGCCCTCTGTCCGATGTGGAGTTGGTGATGATATTTTTTTCCATTTTGTCTTGTTGACTGTGTCCTTTGCTTTACAAAAGCTTCTCAGTTTCAGGAGGTCACATTTATTAATTGTTTCTTACAGTATCTGTGCCATTGGGGTTGTATTTAGGAAGTGGTCTCCTGTGCCAATGTGTTCAAGAGTACTTCCCACTTTCTCTTCTATAAGGATCAGTGTGGTTGGTTTTATTTTAAGGTCTTTAATCCATTTGGACTTGAGTTTTGTGCATGGGGATAGATGTGGATCTATTTTCATTCTTCTACATGTTGACATCCAGTTATGCCAGCACCATTTGTTGAATATGTTTTCTTTTTCCATTTTATATTTTAAGTGTCATTATTTTATTCTATTAATATTTATCTGATTTGGTTATGAGTTTTTCCATGGTTAGGATTTTTTTTTAGTTTTTTCTAATCTCTTGCTCTTCTCTCTTCCCCTCCATGACTTCTCCACTCTCTCCTTTTTTCCTTCATTTATTTAACTTTGTTTCTCAAATTTTTTCTCTTTCCTTGCCCCTTTCCTTTGTCACAAGGGGAAGAGAAAGAATAAAAGCTTCTTGCTCTGTTTAACACAGAGGCACTTTCTGCTTTTTTGGAGCTGGCATTGTTCCAACAGAAGCCCTTTATTTTGTTCCAAAAAGCAGCGCCAGGCACCTAAGCTGAGGGAGCAAGCAGCATTTGTGTCTGGCCACAGAACTGAGTACAAACAGCAGGAAGCCCCGTTTTTTTCCCTCTCCGTGTCCCAAGTCTCTATTAAGTCCAGATGCTTAAGCTTTTGTTTCTATTTCTAGAATCAGGAAAGGGGCACTGGGCAAAAGAAGGTGTTTGGGAACCAGTCATGAAAAGGGGGTTGAAGGAAAAAAATTCCAGAAGGTTGTCCAAGGCCAGCGGGGCTCAGCCCAAGCTAGATGCTCCCGCTCTTTCCATAAACAGGATGTACTTACCAAGAGCTTTGAAAAGTGTGGAATAGGCGGCTGCGCTGGTATAAAACTGTCCACTAGATGGAGCAAGCTTGAACCAGCTTTCACTAGCACGGGCGAGGCTTGGGAAATAGAGATTCTGCCGGCACCAAATAGCACACATCAGGCAGAAAAGGAAAAGAAAAAGAAGAAAACAAAACAAAAAAAATATGGCTGACCTCATCAGGTCAAAAAGAAATTAGTGTTTTCATAGGGGCATAATAATCAAAACTTCCAGAAGACCATTCAAAACCGCCATTCTCATGAAGACACAGCAAGGGCAATCAAAACATCTCTCAGAGAAACAGGAAGTTAAAAGACCTGTCAAATTTTGCTTTTAAAAAAAGTTGGTAAAATGAAAAAGACATATTACTGACTTAGAGAAAATATTTACAAATTAAAAACTCAGACCTTATGCTACTGAGAGAACTCAGTGGGGGGTGGGAGGGGAGCAGACCAGGCTCTCCTAGTAGCCTGACAGAGATCTAAGCCTTAGTTTCGGCTGACTGAAACGGGACAGATCTAAACCGAGAAACCACAGCCTTCTGCTGGCTCAGCAGACCCCAAGGACCCTCTGCTGGCTCAGCAGGCACCCACAGCCCCTTCTGTTGGCTCAGCAGGCGCCCCCCAGTCTCCTGATAACTAAAGACAGTTCTCCCTAGCCTAGCTGGAAGGTCCCTAACCACTAGGACCATCCATCAATCAGAACCCATACTAATCTTTCCTCCACCAATCAGCCCCAGATTAATCCCTTCCCTATGGAATTCCCCTAACGCCACTTAAAAGTGGCTTCTGATCTTCTTTGGGGGTTGCCAAGTGCCACCCCAACACTGGAATTAATAATAATAATAATGTGCTCTTATTATTGCATAAAGGACTGCTGGTCTTTTTTGGAGGCTTCTCTTGGACCCTAGCAGGGACTTTTGCTCAATTGTGTTCACAGCAGCATTATTTGTAATAGCCAGAACCTGGAAACAACCTAGGCGCCACTCAACTGAAGAATGGATAAAGAAAATGTGGTACATTTACACAATGGAGTACTACTCAGTGATTAAAAACAATGACCCTCGAAATTTGTGTGCAAATGAATGGAACTAGAAAAACCATTCTGAGTGAGGTAACCCAGATCCAGACAGACGAACATGGTATGTACTCCCTTATAAGTGGATATAAGACATAAAGCAAAGGATAATCGGCCTATAGTGCACGATCCCAGAGAAGCTAGAACCTTCATCCAGCAACTGATGGAAGCAGATAGAGACTTCCAAGCAAAGCACTAGGTCAAGCTTCCAGAGACCAGACCAAAAGAGGGAGAAGCGATAATATGAGCAAAGGGGGCAAGCCGGTGATGGTGATACCCACAGAAACAACTGACCTGAGCTAGTGGGAGCTCACTGACTCTTTTAAGCTTTCCTTGTTGCACACCTGTGTTGGATTAACATTTTAGGTATAGGTTGGCTTTATTGGTGGCCAACTGAAAAAAGCTGGGGGAACCTGCATAGGACCAAACTAGACCCACTAAGGCTTGGACAGTCTGTGCAGTCACTGGCAGTGGGACCAGGATTTATCCCTAATGATTGAACTGGCATCTTGGAGCACATTCTCTTTGGAGGGATACATTGCTCAGCCTAGATACAGGGGGGAGGGCCTTGGTCCTGTCTCAAAGTGATGTGTCAGACTTTGTTGATTCCCCGTGGGAATGCCTTACTCTTAAAGAGGAGTGGATGGGAGGGCAGAGGAGAGGTTGGGCAGGAAAAGAGGAGGGAGTGGCAACAGGAATAACTATATAAAATGAGAAAAGATTGTATTAAAAAATTCTTACATCAAAAAAAAAGAATCAGACCTTATGCACAACATATAAAGATTTCCTAAAACTCAATAGTAAAAAAACAAGCAACTCAATTTTCTAAACAGGGCTAAAATTTAAATAGACACATTAGCAAAAAGAAACACCGATGTCAACTAAGCACTTGACGATACAGTCACCATTGGGGAAATTCAAATTCAAAGTTCACGTATCTTCTAGATGGGGAAGGATTCCAAATGTGATTTAAGACACTTAGCAAGTATAACCTTGCCTCACACTGCTGGGAAATAGTGTGCCCGTCTTTGATAACATAAATTCCACATTACCCAGCATTCCTGATGCTAAGTACTTACCAAAGAAAAATAAAACGAGGCCGGTGAGATGGTTCAGCTGGTAAAGATATTTGCGGCCAAACCTAAACACCTCAGTTCAATCTCTGGGAACCACATGGTAGGAGAGAACCAATGTTAGCAGGTTGTCCTCTTACCTCCACCTATGTGCATTAATAAGCACTCACATAAATTAATTAATTAAGGAGAGATGAAATGTTACGTTCATATAAAACATTATACAGAGGGCTGGAAAGATGGTTCAGTGGGGCATAAGGACCTGCATTCAAATCTCAAGTGTGTACTGGTAACCCCTTACTGAGGGTTCCAGGGAAGGGATAGGAAGAGCCCAGAAACCTGCTGGACAGCCAGCCTGTCTAAAATGGAAAGCAGATCATTGAGAGACGCTGTGTCAGGGCAATGAGTTAGAGAACGACAGAGGGCAAATACACCAAGCCTTCTCTGCCCCCTGAATATTCACACATACTCACATGCATGCACCATACACAAATACAACACACACACAATTTAAAAAACCTCTGCATATGTAATGGTCATACGTTCCTTAATTCAGAAGAAGAATTTGAAAGCAATCCAAATACGCATCTGTTGGGTAAGCAGGATGCGGCACAAGCCTGTAACAGAACAGAAACCAGTGGATACATAGAATAAAGTACATCTGAATGCATACGCTTTCAAAGAAACAAGCCTCAAAGACACACACACACACTCCAACACTGACCTAGCATTCCAGAAAAGGCCAAACTACACTGTCCAAGAATAGATCAGTGGTAGCTCTAAATCAGGAAGACAGGCAATTCTACAGTCAGAAAGAGCACACGGTGTCTTAGGGTGGCAGAACTCCTCTGTTCCCCGCTTCCTCATCAAAGCCATGGGAACAGCTGTCCCTGATGGTCCCCCTACAACATTTGAAATCAACTCTTCCATACTTTCCCTGATGATGAGCTGAAACTGAGCCAAAAGAAACCTTTCCTCCTTCCCGCTGGGTCAGGTGCTTTGGTGACAGGGGTGTAACAGTACCCAACACCCAGCCCAAGTGGACAGGACACATACATTCCCCTGCCAGTCTCCCCCATGCCCCTTCAGCTTTTGCCTCTTTACTACAGTGCTCTCCCTGGGAAGCTTTGTTCTCTCTCTCTCTCTTTGGCTTCCTGGTAGCCTGCTCGGTCCTCAGCCCATGTGACTGGACCCTTCCTTCATATTGCATGGGCCTTTCCATCTCCTTGATTCTGTCCTTTTCTCCTCCGCCCCTTACACTCCTACTTAGCAACCTTCGGCCTCTAGACCTCACTCCACACTGTGTAGAGTGATCCTGGCCACTACACTGAGAACCGGATGAGCCCGCATTTGAGACAGGCTGACTGCAGTGGCCGGGCACAGAAACAAGGAGATCATGATGACAACGGTAGCCAGGATGAGGAGGACAGGATCACACTTCATATCTTCCAAACCATAACTACAACTGCAAAAAATCCTTCCAAGAAACTGCATCCTGAAGGAAGGGCCCAGAGCTCTGCGGGAAAGCTGCTGCCTAACATGAACAAAGCCCTGAACTGATACCAGAACTGAGAAAGTAAAACACAGCTGAGTTGAATCCTTTCACCTAGCTCTAAGTTCAGGTAGCTGTTCTTCAAAGAAAAACTCAGACATGCTCAGTGAGGCACTTTATTGGAAATTGGATGCATACATCAATGAAGTAAAATCAAAGTAAGCATCATTTGACACAATAACATCCTAATATCTATGCTATCTTATTACATAACAATAAATCCCAAGATGCCCCTGACTTGGGTATCAAAGGGCAAGCTTTGATGGTCTAGAAATATCTCCATATAAATATAAACCATAGCATCTAAAATAACCATCGCTGTTTTGAGTTGGGTTCAAGAGTCCTGGGAAATCTCGTAAAATAATAAGTACTTTAGATGGCTGCTGGAGCTACAAGGGTTGGGGATGTAGCTCAGTGGCAGAACATGGCCCTATGTTCTCCATTGACACAAGAAATTAACAAAAACATGAAGCTAACGATAACAAAGTTCAGACAGGAAAATTCTCTACTGTGTGATACATAAAGGGGCTGGAATGCTGGGCAGAAAACTCAGCCACCCTGCACTTCCAACACTGCTTGAGTGGCAAAGCTAACAGACGTGAGGCTCGATGCAGAAAGCAGGTCATCACGTCACCTCTTTTGGCATTGTTAAATTAAGGCAAAGCTCTCCTTCCGGTGACACAGGGCAGAAACTGGCAGAGAGGTTTTTGAAACTTGTGCTCATCTCTTTCCCCCGCCATACTAGCTCCCTCTCCCCAACTGAGAAAAATGGAAGAAGTGTCACAAAACGAAAAAGTTTGGTTTGCTGAGGATGGGGTACACTTTGCATCGTTTGGCGTGGAGAAGCACGGACTGGCCAAAGCTGCTCTTTCCCGGTCTCCCTCACCTCCTTCACCGTCAGCAGCTCCAAGGGTCTTTGGTTCTTCAAAGCATTTTATCGCACGGCACAACATCTGTGTGGCTTCACTGCTTATGAACAGCTGTCACCTCCGCTAAGTCCCATGGTTCTCAACCCTGTGAAGTAGGATGGAGGGATCATGACCCCTAGATGAACGCTAAGGAGCCTGGTACCCACAGAGTTAGGTCCCTTGATCAAATCCACACTGTTGGCCAGCTGCAGAATCAAAACTAAAATGCAAGTCCAACTCCTGAGTCTTTCTGAGAACAGTCTGGGGGAGACTTGTGTCCTTATCACGTGCCATCCCACTCTCAAGGGTCTCAGACAGCCCCATTGAGAACCGGATGAGTCCGCATTCGATAGATGATGACTGCAGTGGCCGGGCACAGAAACAAGGAGGTCATGATGACAACGGTAGCCAGGATGATGAGGACAATGGCCCAGATATCCAGGATGTGCTTGGGAAGCAGGACATCCACAGGTGACTGGCTGATCGCATCCATGTTGGCCCTGGAATGGACAGGAAAGGAGAGTCAGTTGTGTGCACCCTCTCCCTGCCTTCCTTCTAGGAAGGAGATTTCCAGGAGTCAGAGTTACTGTGATCAATCATTAGTGGTGATAATGGCATCATTTGCTGGGGCATCCTATTACCAAGAACTCTTCTTAATATTTTATTACATGTGAGTGTGCATGTAAGTGCACACTTCTACACTCATACGGTTGCCTGCAGATACCAAAAGATGATGTCAGGTTCCCTGCAGCTGAAGCTATAAGTGGTTATGAGCTGCCTGACCGGTATTCTGTGTCCTCTGCAAGAGCAGCAAGTGGTCTTAACCACAGTTATCTTTCCTGCCCATTAAGCAGGTCACTTTGTATCTATTAACTCATTATATCCCATTAACCACCAATCCAATGAAGAGGGAGTCCAATAACTGTTCATTTAATGTTTCTTAGTGTTTATCTTCAGTTATTACCATGATCCCCATATTCCATTGATTTAAAATGAAAATCAAACCATGTAGAGGTCATGAAGTAGGCCTAGAAAATAAACCCAGATAGATGGGGACTTTTTATGTTTATTGTTTAAACTACCACTCTGTTTCCCTCGTCCATAAAGTGATAATTCACTTTTTTTTGCTCTGTGTCCCATTGCTTATTCTTTTGGGGGTGTGAGGGAATATGTGTGTACAAATGCACATGAACATGTATGATGTCATTCCTCAGGTGTTATCCATCTTGCATTAGGGTGGGTTTTTTTTTTAATACATAGCCATATATTTTAATTGGGTGGGAAGTAAAAAAGAAAGACCCTATACTGGGCCTTATTCAAGGCATCTTTGGGTTCTACAGGGTTAAGGAAAGCAAGATATTCCTTAAGGAAAGATCTAGGTGACCCCTGGATTTGTATACTGTGGCCCCGCACAGCCTCTATCTCGACAGAAGCTAGTGTACTGTGTTCTGTAACCCTGGGGCAGGAAAAAGACCACTTTCATTCCTGCTTCTTAAAATTTTTGACAGCAACATGGTGACGGAGAAACACAAGCAAGAAAGGTGGCACACCAAGCTCTGTGGTGCAGATGGCAAAATGCATATCCATAATCACCGCAACCACTCAGTTCCAGCTACCAGTGTGCAAGGTGGTTTCCGAGTCGGGGTCTCTCACTGGGACCTAGGGCTTGTAGATTCAGTTTGGCAGACTACCAGCCAACTCCAGGGCTCTGCCTGTCTCTGCTCCCTGGCTCTGGAATTGTAAGTGTGCACCACCACACCCAGTTTTTTACACAGACAATGGGGATTAGACTAGGGCCCTGTTGTTCATGGCAAGCCCTCTACCAAACAAGGCAAGTCCCTTCTTTCCACAGAAGCCTGCCTACTTATTCCTTGTGGGTTCCTCGGGACACCCACCATGCACAAGGATGGGATTTGACCTTGGCATAGCATGGTGAATATCAATAGCCACACTGGGAATCTACAAGTGACTCAGACCGGTCCACCAAAGTCTTCTTCAGTACTTTTATGCACAAGCTCTTGGGAAAGGGTGAGGGTGGCTATCGAAAGGATGTATGTCTGGAAAGGGTGAGGCTGTTTTGTCCACAAGCAGAGCGCCTGGCTTAGAGTTAAACACAGGTGGAGCCTTGATAGTTATCACCTGATATCACTTGACAGTGAATACCTGAACCCAGTCAAGTTTGATGCCTTTGCAACCCTAGACATGCCAAGTATATGAGCCAATAATTTCCAGGTTCTGCTGAAACCAATGTCCATTTGGTATCTCTCCTTTGCAGTTTAAAAAAAATTTTTTTCAGCATGCCTATAATATAAGGGCTTGAGAAGATAAGGTAAAAAACATCAGAAGTTTGAGGCCAGCCTGAGCTACATCAGTAAGACCATGCCAAAATAAATAAATAAATAGCTAAATTCAGATGGGTAAGATATTCTGGTTCATAGTATTCTCAGTGTCTTGGTAGTTGTTTTCAAAGCACCACAGGCCATGTACTAAGTAGTTAGGTTCCAACAATTTAATAAGTATTTCTGTCCTAACAAGTTATTATGCGTGTCCTGTTGAGCAATGTTGCATGTGTCTGTGTATGGGTACGTACATATGAGTGCAGATGCTCTCAGATGCTAGAGGTGTGGAGTCCCCCTAGATGTTGGTTTTGCAAATCAAACTTTGGTCCCCTGGAAGATCAATAGGTGCTATCAACTGCCATGCCATCTCTCCAGTCCCTGTGAAACTTTTTACACTTTAGGACATGACTACACAATGCCATCTTCTTTTCCTAGTCTATTTTAATTTTTGTCCAGAACTAACATATCCTAACAACCATCAGGAAGAACTGCATGAGATACCACCTCCAAAAACAACATAGAAAGCTCAATGTTAAACTTCACCCAGCAGTTAAGCAGTCTGGATCAACATCACTATTTCTGTCAAAAATGTTACTGATAAGGAAAAGGGGCCAACAACTGACAGATGAGACTTCATGAAGCTTCAAAGTTTAGGATGGCAGCGGAAATTGAGTAAAGATACCACCTACAGAACAGGAGGAAATCCTTGCCAGCTATAAATTTGGCAAAGATTAATATCTAGAAGACACAAGGAACTCAGAAGAAAAAGTAAACAACAAGAAAACATATATCAGTCAAAAGCATCCTGTGGAACCAAGCAGAGTTCTTAAAGGAGAAATACAAATGACCAATAAATATTTTCTAAGTAGAAAATATCCATAGGCATCAGGGAAATACAAATTACTTCTACTTTGAGATTCCATCTCACCTTAGTTAGATTGGCTACGAGAGAGAGAGAGAGAGAGAGAGAGAGAGAGAGAGAGAGAGAGAGAGAGAGAGAGAAATGCTGAGAGGACAAGGATGTATGGAAAAGAAAGTCCTATTGGTGGGAAGTGTGGCTGCCATGAAAGTTGGTCTAGAGGCTTCAGATAGATAGATAGATAGATAGACAGACAGACAGATAGATACAAAGCAGGCAAATCTCTGTGACTTAGAGACCAGCCTGATCTACATAATGAATCCCAGGCCAATCAGGAATACACAGAGGAGAGAGTCTGTCTCCAAAATAAACAAACAATCATATGACCCAGCTATACCACTCCTGGGCATATATACAAAGTAGTCTGTATTCAATCACAGAGATCCTTGCATATCATCCATATTTGTTCTATGCTACTCATAACAGCAAGGAAATGTAACCTCCCTAAATGCCCATCAACTGATGAATGGATAATAATTACATAGTACACAAACACAATGGAATTGCATTCAGTGATAAAGAAAAACAAAGCTGTGATATTTGCAGGGATATGTATGAAACCAGAAAAATGTGCATTCTCTTAATATGAAGATCCTAGCTTCCAATTTTTATACATTTGCATTTGTGTAGACACCAGAAAACTACAAAATAACCTGTGGGAAGGAGGAAAAAGGCTTTAAGGGGTGAGGGATTAAAGGCGTGCACCACCACCGCCCGGCAGCCCTCTCACTCTTAATGTTATTATATGCACAACACTGGGCCCATCAACATCCTGCCATGGATGAGTGGGAGTTCATGGAGAATCACTGGGCAGCCAATAGCTGCAGGTAAAACACTTTCTTCAGTGGTGTGGCCATTAATTTCCGCCCATGTCCCCAAAACAGCTGCAACGAAGCTCAATGGGTCTCTGAAAATGGAGGGGTGTGGTGGGGTGGCTCAGCAGGTGAAGGAACTTCCCCTCACCCCTGACCATCTGAGTTCAGTCCTTGGGATTCACGCAGTGGAAGGAGAGAAATGAGTCACCTAAGTTGTCATCTGACCCACATAAATGGTGTCCTCAAGTGCACACACACACACACACACATACACACAAAGTAAGCATTTTTTTATTTTTTCTTAAAGACATGAATGTAGAAAGTAGGGGTTAGTTAGGAAAGGATCAAAGGAAGCAAGAGGGAAACAAGAGAATAAGAAATGTGATCAAAACAGATTATACATATATATATATATGAGAATGCAATAATTAAACCCATTATTATGTATGATTATATATCTCAATAAAAACAAAATAAAGTCTAGCATGTGCACAGAAATATACTAAGGAACCTACAGCACCCCTGTTTTTCCTCCAGTGAGTTGACTATGACTCCCCAGGTCACCTCACAATGTAGGACATTCTGTGTCCAGGCAACATGAGGCTGGCACAACTCCTATAGCCCATCTAATCTAGCATCTATGACCCTAGGTTCCAGTAAAATTCCCAGTTCCATTCTTATTTCCTTTCCCTAACCACCAGCTTTTCTTTCCTAATGCCTTTGATTCAGTGCCTCTGTTAGCACTCTGAGTTAGTAGCCATCACGCCCAGGACCAGTAGAGTACCCAACATATACATACAAGCACGTTTCTGCATTCTCTGCTGTAGCAATGGATACAATTAAACTGTCCACTAATAATAAGATAAACGAGAACTATCCATGTGCTGTGGTTTAGATATAGATTGGGTGTGTCCTCCATGCATCCCTGTTTAGTCTAATCTCCATTTCAAGATATTCAGCAAGAAGAAGTTAATCCAACGGTGGTGCTTTGAAGTGGAGCCCTTGACAGCTGGGCATGTAAGCACAGGCCTGTAACTCAGTGTTTTGGAGAGAGACACAAGAGGAACCCAAGTGTGAAGCCAGCCTAAGCAACATAGAGAAATTATTTGAGAGAGGGGTTGGAAAAGAGAAAGAAAGAAAGAAAGAAAGAAAGAAAGAAAGAAAGGAAGGAAGGAAGGAAGGAAGGAAGGAAGGAAGGAAGGAAGGAAGGAAGGAAGAGATAAGGAAAGAGGGGTGTAATAATCTGACATTGGTGAACTCCAAAATATGTTTTTAAGATTTTTAATTTTAGAGGCCAAGCCTGGTCTACAAGAGCTAGTGCCAGGACAGGCGCCAAAGCTACAGAGAAACCCTGTCTCAAAAAACTAAAAAAAAAAAAAAGATTTTTAATTTTATATGTATGAGTGTTCTGGCTACATGTATGTCTG